TCCAGCCTTCATCCATCCTCTGCCCCTGTTGTCACCCACCCTCTATCTTTAGCTCCCCCGGTGGGATGGGCCTTGCTGCAGACACCCATGTCTTCCATCCGGGATTCTTTTTTAATCTCAGTCTAATTGGTTCACCCACCCTGCTGGGATGCTTAATTGGGCATAAGCATATTCCGCAGATCCCATGCCATTGTGAGCTCTGCCTTCTCCTCCAAGGGGAATTTGCTTGCTCTGTGTGCTCGGAAGGAAAGATATATTTTATGTCGTGCTCAGTTCACTGAAAACTTACATGAAATTGTTCCCGGGCCAGCACGGCAGTTAGACAACATGGCAAGCAAGGCTTGCTTGCTTTCTTTTATTTTCTTTCTTTTTTTATTTCAGAATATTATGGGTGTACAAACATTTTGTTTACATAAGTTGCTTTTGTACGATTTAAGTCAAAGTTGTAATGTGCTCATCACCCAGATCATGTGCGTTGTACCCATTAGGTGTGAATTTACCCTTCCCTTCTGCCCTCTCCCGTGGTGTGTTGCAGTGGAAAGGGTACAGCACTTGGAGTCATGAGCCCTACGTTCTGATTTAAGCCCTGCCAGTCATTTGCTGTGTGATCTTGGGCAAATAACTTAACCTTTTTGACATTCAGTTTTCCCATCTGTGAATCGAGTGAGTTGGATTTGATGATTTCTATGAATGGAGTCAGGGTGAAGATTTTGGAACAGGAGTCATACTACCCTATGCGCCAAATCTGGCTTAACACTTGCTTTTACGAATAAAGTTTTATTGGAACACAACCACACTCGTATTGTATTTTGCTGTCTCACACTGTAAGGACAGATTTGAGTGGTTGCAATAGATACCTTATGTCTGAAAAGCCTAAAATATTTACTACCTGGCCCTTTATGAAAAAAGTTTGCCTACCCTTCTTTTAGAACATAAATCAGATTGTTTTAGGTCAAAATATTCATTTACCTTTTCATGGTACTTAGAATTTAAAAATTAAAAAAAAGGTATTTTCTGTGGCTGACATGGCCTTTGGACATCTAAGCCCTCCATATCCCATCTTTATGTTAGTTTTTCCTACATACTGCTTTTTATCTCACTCCATTGTCTTGGTTTGTCTCTTTGGTGATCCTCAAATGTGGCAAACACATTCCTACCTCAGGACCTTTGCATTTAATGTTCCTTTTTCCTGGAACATTCTTGCACCAGGTGGCCCCATGGTCCCCCCTCGTTTCTTTCAAGTCTGTCCTCAAATACCATCAAGTCAGCAAGGCCTTTTCTGACCACCTATATCAAACCGCAGCCTCACCCACTTCTGCACATCCCAACCTCCTTCCCCTGCTTTATTTGTCTTTATAAGGCCTGTCTCCCCTAACACCGCACACATGTCTTTCCATGTTTTCTGTTCACTCTCGTAAGCACATAAGTTCTTTGAGAGCAAGACTTTTATCCAATTTGTTTACTGCTGCATCCTCAGAGCTGGAAAAATAATGGGTGCTCAAACTTCAAATATATGATCTAACCTTTCCAGCACTAATGCTGTTTAAATCTGCCTCAGGATAGATCTCAGTGCTGTGGAGCCCTTGTACTTAAGTATATTTTGGTAAAAAGTGTGAAAATCATAGAATCCTGCGATCATTACCATCTTTGCTCCAACATGCTGTAATTGTTAAAAGAACCACATAAACCCACCCTCAGAGTGTTTTTAGTTTGGATTGTTCACCAGTAAGAGCAGAGTTTATAGACTGGAATCTAATAACATAGTTTGACATGCAGTCCTTCGTCCTGTGGTCCCTGATAACCTCTCAGCCCCTACCTCTTATTTATATGTTGCACATGTGCACACTCACGCACACGCACACATCCCTCGCTTTCCAACTGTCTTATCCTCTTTCATTCCCCTCCAGTTTAGCACATAGGGCTCATTCTTCCTGAAACTCCTTTCCCCTATCTTTGGCCAAATTCTGTTTCCTTTATGATTCAATTCATACAGGAGAATTCTATGACATCACCACTCCCACCCAGTTGCTTTTTCAGCCTGTGTCTGGGACCCTCCTCTGTGATCCCTCTATGTCTAGAAATGCCATTGCGAATAGCGCAGCATACATAGTTTAATAACTTTCCTAAACAACTATTTGTTCTAACACCCCCCATCCCCACCCCCAATGGAGTAATTCCCTGGGATGAGGAGCTCTGTCCATGGTGCTGAGCAGGCGGAGCCTCATGAGGAGTCCTGCTTTATAGTAACATCCCATTACTGAGCTCTTCCTAAGGGCCCTGTATATTTTGGTAAACAGCACGGCATGTGCATTCCTTCACTTAAGCCTTACATCCACCCTGGGAGGGAGGAACTGGGTTCCTGGTGTTGGCTTCTTTCCTAGTTATTTCAAGGAAGGAACACAGATGGCAGGCCCTGGGTCTATAGCTGGTGAACTTCACAAAGATTATGAAGGTTGTTAAAAAAAAAAAAGAATGAGTCATGCCTTGTAGTTTGGTGATGGGGGTGGCATTATTCTTCTGCATTGGTACTGGTTCTACTATTTTTTTATATTCTAACTCTCAATATTTACACTGAAAGAGTGATTTAAGTGTCAGGATACCAGTTTTCTATACTCAGCTCTACTACTAACTAGCTGGGTGACTTTTAACAGGTTACTTAACCTCTCTGAGCATTAATAAATATTAGTTTTGAGGAATATAGACATGTTCACATGAAAAGAAAGCAACCCAAGAGAGTAAGTTATAAATAAAAGTGATATATATATATATATACATACACATTGTGTAATTATGTGTGTTTATCAATATACTGATATATGTGTATATTTATATGTATGTATATAACTTCCTAATTGTATGTATATATAACTTTTTAGATTTCAGGGATGAGGAAATACACTTTATCTCAGACATATTTGGTGATTTTCATTGCTTTGTGTTGATCATCAATTGCTGAGTAACAAATTACCTCACAACTTAGCGATTTAAAACAATAAATATTATCTCACAGTTTCTGTGAGTCAGGAATCTGGGCACCTTTTCTGTTGGTTTCTCGCCAGGCTGCAGTCATCTCAAGGCTCTGTTGGGAAGGGTCTGTTTCGTAGTAACCCAGTTCACACACGCGGTTGCTGTTAGGATGCCACACCTCGTGAGGCCTCCCTTGGCTGGAGGCTTCCCTCGGCTCCTTGCCGGGTGCATGTCTGCATGGAGCATCTCACAGCATGGCAGCGAGGGAGAGGGAGAGGGGAAGAAAGATGCCCACAGAGACAGAGAGAGCATGGGAGAGGGCCAGTGAGAGAGAGAGAGAGAGAGAGCGAGCAGAGAGGCCCAAGGTCACTGGGACTCATGCCACAACTGTCTACCACACCTGTAACATTCTTCTCAGCTGGTTGTCACATCCCCTCCCACTCCCCAGATCTGGTCAGTCCACTTGCTCCATCTTGTCACCTCCTACACCCTCTTCTTCACACTCCTCCTCTTCCGATCTGCTCTTCCCATAACATATTCTGTATCCACTCCCTCCTCCACTCCTGCCCTTTTTTTTTTTTTCCATGTGGTTAGTTGTTTTGTTATCTCTCTTTTCTTTTTAAACCACACTTCTGTGTATTGAAAGCCCATACAAACTTCAAAACTCTAGTTCAAACGTGACCTCCTCTCTGAAGCTTTCCCTCCAGGCCTGAGGAATCCTCCTCCTTCTGTGTCCTGTAGTCCTTGATTTACGACGAACTGGAATGTTTTCCTTCCCTGCCAGACTGTGAGCTTCTTAAGAACAGGGACTGTGATGTGTCCATCCTCTTCTGCAGACATCATATGTTGCACTTAGTAGGTGCCTTGCAGGCTCATTGAGTGCAGTGGATTGACTTAAATACCTAAGATGTGCAAGGTACTAAATTGACTTACAATGTGAGCTATGGTATGAATTATGGACAGAGATTTCTTAAGCAGACACAGACCATAAACTCTGAGGCTTGGAAAAGTATTCTAATGACGACGCTTTTTTTCAGATCCAGTGTTCTGTGAGTCAGGGGTCAGACTCCACCACTGAATTACCAGGGCCTATTCTGGCCTGATTCCCTCCCTGGCCTGCTTTTTCTTAGCCTGTGCCCCTTTCTTCATTTGTCTCTCCCATCCTGTGGCAGGAAAGGGAGACCTTTCGTTAAACTCTGCTTCCCATCATTTATCTAGGCTGATCTTACAGCCCTCTCGGCTGGTCTGTTTTTCTCAAGGGACCGAGAGTGTGTAACTCAGGCAGGTCAGAGAACTGGTCATTCTGTGGGAGCTGCATCATTGGTAGGAACGATGGCCGTTATTTAGTAAAAACAACCTGCACCAGGTCCCTTTAAATGTCCACTTGTGCTCAGTTTGCATGGTGTCTATGAAGCTTTAATGATGTACATGTACATGACTTGGAATTCATGAGGAAATACAGTTATAAAACAGTATTTCACATTAAATTAGCACCTTGAAGTTTCCAGAGGTTTTTTTACTCTGCATGTTTCATGTAATCCCTGCACCAGCAGCAGGAAATAGATAACATTAATTGAATTTTATAGATGAAGAAATGTAGGCCCAGCAAGGGAACATGCTTTTCCTCAGATTGCACCACATAATTTGCAAGAGACAGAGCAAGACTTGGGCTTCCGCGTTTGGTCCTCTTCAATCTTGATCTACTCTGTTATTAGTAAAGGAAAACATGGAAATTCTCCCATATGGTCTTTAGAATGTAGCTTAATTTCTTCCAAATAGTAGGTGGTCAATGAATGCATGTTAATACTTTGGATTAAAGTGAGCTCTGGGCCCAATATTTGATTTTTGAATTGTTTTACAACAGGTCTCAGGTTGCTTTGTGCCTTAGGTCATGTCCATTGTTATACAGCCTGCCTGCCTTCCTGCCTCCCTTCTTTCCTTCCGTGGGAAAGAAGGAAAGGGGTGGCTGAGGGGACTTTCAGTTGATGGCAGTGGTCCTAAGTTGAGGGCTGTCACTTGTCTCTCGTGCCCAGGGAGTTTGCCCGTTGGAAGGTGAGGAACACAGCCATTGAGAGGAGAGATCTGGTCCGTCATCCAATGCCCCTCATGCCGGAGTTTCAAAGGAGCATCCGCCTGCTCGGCAGGAGACCCACCACTCAGCAGTTCATCGATACCATCATCAAAAAGTACGGCACCCACCTGCTCATCTCAGCCACCTTGGGAGGTAGGTCAGCAGCCACTGGGCCACAGCCCCGTCACAACCTTGGGCCTGGGGTGGGAGGGAGAGTGGGATGTCTTGAGGGCAAAGCCTTCTCTGCCATCCTACATCCCGCAAAAGCTTATGTCGCCCAATGAACCAAATTGTCTTGGCTATCGTGGTCAGATCTGAGCTGATGATTCAGTTCTATGGGACAGTCTACTTTGAGAGTTGGCCAACTTTGGTGGAAATATGGCTTACCCTTGGAATTGGCTTAGTTTGTTAGAAATGCTTAATCTGATAATAATCTTAGTTCCTCTGGAATGTGGTCTGACCTGGGAAAATAATTAAATTTCAGATATTGTTTAGGGGATCTTCTTTGTTTGTTTAAATCTACTTTAGGGGCTGATAACTTCAGGTTATCATTTTACAAATGGGCTATGGTTTGTATCTCATATGCATATTGAGTAGGTTAATAGGAAAGCAGACTAATTACTCCACCCTGCTCAACCTTACCCATCTCTCCCCATGTGCAATCAGTTTTTGAGAGAGTGAGGATAAGAGGGCTAGATAAAGGGCAGGAATAAATGCAAAGGCAATGAATGGGAAGTGATACCGCATAGAGCATTAGATGCCTATGGGTCTTGTCTGCATACATCATTTGATATTATGAGGAATCCCTTAGGCATCAGTTTTCTTCTGCAGTGACTGGGGCTATTGAACTTTGAGAAAGCCCTTTTGGTGGTAGAGCACCATGCCCACTTGCTTGTAGAGCTGCTAGGTGCATTAGATATGGTCCATGCCAATGAAAAGAGATTGGTGTCTTGTCAGATGCAGGGCAGACTGAGGTATGATTATAACAGGGGATCTTCTCCTTCAGAGGAGGGTTGAGCACCACAAACTGGAGTGGTCAGTACAAACTTCATGAAGGAAGTGACAGTTTAGCTTGACAGGAGCTGGTTAGGTAAGGGAAGGTGGTAGAGCTTTCAAAGCTGAACATACAGTGTACAATTTAAGGAAAAGAAGATTAGTAATTTGATAACGGGAATATAGGTGGGGAGATTGGTTGGGCAAATTCATTCATTCTTACAATAATATTAGCCACTGCCTGATAAGTATTTGCCACATAGCAGGCATTGTACATTGTCTTTAGTCCTCAAAAGCACTGGTTAAGCCGTATTACCTCTATCTTATAGATAAGGAAGCTGAGACCCAGAAGAAGTATAGCTAGTACATTACAAAGCTAGGTTTTTAACTTAGCATTTTCTGTCTACACAGCCTGCATTATATTTTTGATCCAACATCAGTCTCTTTTACCAACCCACCCACCCACTCCAATAGCCAACCAACCAGCACACATGTGTGGTCTGTTGCTAGTCAGATATTAATTAGGACTTTGGATGTTAAATCACTAGTATAAATTCTATTCTATTATAAAGGGAAAATGCATTGCTTTCTACATTGAATGTAGCATTAACCTGTACCCTTTCCTTTGAATATCTCCCACCTCCCAATTCATTTGGAAAAAAAAGTTCTTGAGACCAATTCAATTCTTCCATTAAAAGCTGTGCTCTGGTCTGAGTCCCTGGAAATCCCAAGTAACAGAGACCTTTCTTCCTCAATGAAATATATTTTTAATTTCTCCAAGGCAAGGTGGTGAATTATTCACAGAGTCTTGTTCCTCTCCTGTTTTTACAACACAACATTTTAAAATATGCAAAGCTTTGGATTGAAATCCGGTGTTGGACAGCAGGCCCTAAATATGGACGAGCAGAGAGAGGGAAGGGGAAGAGATTTACTGTTGATTGAGCACTATGTGCCAGAAACTTTCTTTCTTTCTTTTTTTTTTTTGAGACAGGGTCTCACTCTATCACCTGGGCTAGAGTGCAGTGGCATCATCATAGCTCACAGCAACCTCAAAGTCCTGGGCTCAAGCAATCCTCCGGCCTCAGCCTCCTGCGTAGCTGGGACTACCATTGTGCACCACCATGTCCAGTGATTTTTAAAATTTTTTTGTAGAGCCAGGATCTTGCTATTGCCCAGGCTGGTCTCAAACTCCTGGCCTCAAGAAATCCTCCCTCCTCAGCCTCCCAAAGTGCTAGGATTACAAGCGTGAGCCACTGCACTCTGCCTGAGGTCCTTCTCACATTGTCATTTCATTCATTCATATATGGAAAAACATTGCTTAATGACCACCTTTACAGTGTGAGAGAAGGGAGGCAGGCAGTTTTAGAGAGTGAAAGGGCAGGCTCTGGAGTTTGATCACCTGCCTTCCAGTCCTGCCTGCTGCTCTTCACCAGTGTAGTCCCACCTTTATAGTAACTTAATCCTCTAAGCCTCAGTTTCCCCTTTTATAAGTAGTCATAATAATAGTACTTCCTTCATGCATACTTTGAGGATTAAATAAAGCAATACATTCAAAGTACTTATCATACTGTCTGGCACCTAGCAAATTGTTGCTGTTGCTATTGTATTGTTGTTATTATTACTATTGTTGTTGTTGTTATTTAATGAAGGTAAGGAACTTAGGGACCCGGAATTAAAGCCCAACCCTGTCGCTCACCAGATGAGTGGGAGACATTGAGAAATTCACTTTCCTGTCTGGGTATCAGTTTCACCATCTATATACAAGGAGGTTCAGAAGATGTTATTCACTATATTTTTTTCTAAGCACGCTGCATTCATTGACAGGGAATGCTTTCATAAACTCTTTGAGGTGTCAGGTAAGTTCACAAGGGCATAATCAAACAACAAAAGATGATTCTTCAACCGTCTTCCATGGGACAAATAAGTACACTTGTTTGGCTCCATAGGGAGAGGGAACAGGAAGGAAAAAGAGTGGGAATGAGGACGTGGAGCTGACGGGAGGGCCAACAGCTAATACATTTGCATGGGATCCCCAGTTTTTGGTGAAATCTATTAAACTCATAAAATACGTAGAATGAATGCTCTTCTTATGGAGGGTGGTGAAGGGAAGAATTCTGCATCTGGAAAGACACACGGGGAAATGGGTAGAAATTTTCCTTAGTCTCCCTGGTGATCATATTTTTGGCAGAAGGAAAGACCTTTGAGGCTGGTGCCTATGTGACATGTATGATTAAGCTTGCATGTATGATTATGTGTGCATGGAAATGTGTACCTACCTATATAGACAGGTGTGCACAAATGCCTACCTATACTATGATGTGATTAAGCTGAACATGCACATACATATATGTACATTGCACACATGTGTATTGCATGCACATATATGGATGCAGTGTGTACATATATATGTATATGTGAGCTTGCATATGCGTGTGAATATGTGTGTATTGTGTGGATTTTTTTTATACATGAGGGCTCATATTTTTTGTTCATATGTGTAGGTTTGTGTGTGTATTCATCATTTCCCACCCCACATCTTGGGAGATCTCCCCTTGAGTAAAAAGAAGGCTGAGAATAAAATCACAGGGGCTGTTCAGTGGCCTAAAGTCCAGACATCTCCACCCCCAATCTGGGAGCGAGATCTCCTATTGACTCGAGAGGTGAAACGATCAGCTCCCACCTCATCCTCCATCCCGTGTGTGTGCGAGTCCCGGCTTGTTCCCCTCCTAGAGAAGGTGCTGAAAAGAGTGAGGGAAAGTCCCCTGGAGGCCAGGAAGACTGCGGAATGGCCTATATGGGGTGAAAAGGCAATTTGCAGGAATGCCCAAGTGGGAAAGCAACTCTAAACAGCACATTCTCTTAATAAACAAGAAATTAAGTCTTAATAATGCAGTAAGAAGCCCATTAACCCCTCTTGATCTAAGGTTTGCTTCTGCCGGTTTTCTGTCCAGAGGGAACTGGGCTTATTTCACCTTCTCTTTCACAGGCCCCTCGGAGAGCCTGAGCTGACACTTGGAATGTTTATTTTCTCTGCCTCATGGCTCTAATTCTTGGCATGCTTACTTATTTAATCATTTACCTCTCCACCTGCCCTCTATTTGTCTACTCCTTCAATCGTCTATCCATCCATCCATCTATCCATCCATCTATCCATCAGATGGTAACTGAACATCCACTCTCCATCAGACCCTAGAGGGAGCCTTGGAACGTTAGAAAGATGGATTGGATAAAGTCCTTTTTCCCCTCCCCACAGCCCACTGCCCCCGAAATTCAAAGTCTAATTGGATACTAAGTCATTTTAAAGCCAAACCTATTGAGGTTGCTTTGGAGTCCAAAGGATAAAAGATCATCTTACTGCATGACAGTGAGGGCTTCATGGAAAAGTGCAAACATGAGTGTCTTGCTCTGTCCTCAACTCAAGTCCAGGCATGCGGTGCCTTGGAGAAAAGGGTGTCTGAGAGAGGGTGCACAGTTAGAGTCATTAATCTAGTTCAGGTAAAGAGTGAGGGGTTGAGAGAAGGCTTCTCAGAGGAGGTGATGTCTTAGGTGACATCTGAGGGATGAATAGGAGTTAGCCAGGAGAAAAACATAAAAGTGGAGTCCCAACAGTGAGAGAAATTGGGGCACATCTGTGCAGGGTAGAGCAAACCCAGAGAGCAGCAAGGGATAAAGTAGAGGGGCCAGGTCACCCACGCCTGTGGCCCACATTATCTACAGGGACCCAGGCACCTTCCCTTGGCCTGCATTCCCCTCTGTGCACCCCTCTCCCTTGACTATTCCCCTGGTATATTGAAATGATCTCCTGTGACTCTGTGTCCCCAGACCAGCACTGGCCAGCAGTGTGAGCCACCCATGCCATTTTAAATTTTCTTAGAAAGTAAAAGGAAAAAGGGGGAATCAATTTAACAGTATATCTCATTTAACATAATATATCCAAGATGTTATCATTTCAACATGTAATCAATAGAGCAGGCTATTAATGAGAGATTTTATATTTTTTGCACTAAACTTAGAAGTCTGGTATGTGGTTTATACTTACAGCATGTCTCAGTGTCTTGTTCATTTGTCACCCCCATGTCTGTCCAAGTGCTCGGCACACAAACAATGCTCAGTGTCTGCTGAGCTAAACTGAATGGGCGGGCTGGAGAATGGCAGAAGGGAGGTGTCACTTCTCTCTGGGGCGAGGGTGTGGCTGGAGAAAGCTCACCAGGGACATGATGCCCCAGCAGGTTCTCGAGAGTGTATAGGAGCATTCCACTTCCCAGGGGGGTTGGGAGGTGGGGGTACATAGTAAGAGGAAGTGACATTAGAATTGGGCCTAGAAAGCTGGATAGAATCTTAAAAACCAGACATTTAGATAAGGGACAGAGTGGAATTCCTTCTAAAAGTAAATTGTGTTTTCTCTTCAACTCAAAAAGTCATCAGCATTCTAAAGACATTTCGATTGTCCTAGATAACAGGCTTTGGTTCTCAGAAAGCACCCATCGTTTTTGTTCTCTAAATATCCTTTTGTACTGAATTGATTAGCTGTAAGGATAAATATCATACAATTGATAATTTGCAATAATCGAATAATGTCAGCTAACACTTCCCACAGTGCTCAGTAGGTGCCAGGCAGGGTTCAAGTACTTCATGTAATTAACTCATTTTAACTAATTAACAACCCTATGAGGTAAGTGCAGTCAGTATTCCCATTTTACACATGAAGAAACTGAGGCATAGAGAGGTTAACACAGGTAGTGCAGGTCAAAGCAGTCTAGCTCAGAATCTGTGCCTGTAACTACTATACTCCAGCATTTTCTGAGTGCTACAGTGAACCAGACACTGTACGAAGACTTTACACATATTAACTAATTTATTCTTTTTAGTAATTCAATGGATTAGGTTCTCGTTTTCTCTTAATTTTGCTAATGAATAAACTGAGGAACAGAGTAGTTAAAAAATTGCCCCCATTCACAAGGTTGGCAGTGAGTGGAGCCGGGAGGACGACAATCAAGTCTACTCGGTGAACATTTCTTCAGCTTCATTTCTGCAGTTCTGGTGAAACATTTCATTACTCAAAGTAAAAGTCATCTTAGCTTAGTAGTTTTAGTAATCTATGTATGCGTTTCTAAAAAAAACATCATGGAGCAAAATCAGTAAATCTGCATATTTATATCCATATAACCACATCTATCATTCTTCCATTCATCTGTCCAAATATCTGCCTGTTTATCTGTCTATCTATTCATCCATCCATTTAGAAATGAGTGGGGGGAGGAGAAAAAGGAAGTGGGGAAGAAATATGGGAAGAGCAGAGGAGAGAGTAGGGCAGAGGAAAAGGAGGAACTAAATGATGATAAGGAAACAGGAGGAGGAGAAAAGAATGAGAAGGGAGTATCTATGCCAGAGCCGTCGTTTTATAGATGAGGCTGAACCTTCTCAGAAGAGGGGAAGTGGTTGCGTTGTCAGACGATGCTAGTGAGAAGCATGAAGTGGGTTAGTAGGGGTTGGACCCAGTCGCTGAGGGTTTTTTAATGACCCTCGTCCTGATGGAGCTCCATGTTTACAGCCACCTTTGGACAGTTTCTTTTTCATTTGATTTTCAGAAGCAGAAGGACATTTGGGGAAAATTAGCTGGAGGAGATTCAAGGCACCTTTCGGCACCCCACTGCCCTGCCTCCCACACCAGGCTTTCTTATCATCGTTTCTTTCCCACGCAGGGGAGGAGGCTTTGACCATGTACATGGACAAAAGTCGCCTGGACAGGAAGTCAGGGAACGCCACTCAGAGTGTGGAAGCTCTGCACCAGCTCGCATCGTCCTACTTCGTCGACCGTGATGGCACCATGAGGAGGCTGCATGAGATCCAGATATCAACTGGAGCAATCAAGGTAGAGCTCGGGGGTGGATTTGGGTGGCAGGTTCTCAGTTTGGTTCTGCACTGCAATACAGACCTTCTGAGACTGGAAGGTCATAGACAATTCCTGGCTTCATACCCGTGTAGCTCATAGTGCCCTCTGCCAACCGCTCTGACTGATGTTGTCACATGCCTGGTAACATCACCAGCACTGGTATTAGTATGGCCATATGTACTGACTTACCGGAGCACCCTGTCTACAGTCGTGGCAAAATTATCAGCAGTCCTCTCAGTCGCTCTTACAGTTGTCCTGTAAGGTTGATTATCACACCCCCTTTCTGGGTGAAAAAACTGAGGCTACAAAGGGGAAAATGATTTCCTTGAGGTCTCAGGGCTAGCAAGAGTCAGATTATGGATGCCCAGCTCAGCGATATGTTAAACACCTGTGTTTTTTTATTCCTTCCTCCCTGCCTCTCATTTTACAGATGGGAAAACTCAGGTCTCATGTTTAAACCCTTTTTCTCAGGGTTGTGCAGTTAGAGAATACCTTAACAGGGACTAGAACTCTGCTCTCTAGGCCAAAGGTCAGCAAACGCTTTCTGTAAAGGGCCAGATGATTAATATTTTGCAGGCCTTACGGCCTGTGTTGCTACCGCTCAATTCTGCTGTTGTAGCCTAAAAGCAGCCATCGTCAATATATAAACAAATGGGCATGGCTGTGTTCCAGTAAAACTTTATTTACCAAAGCAGGCACTCTGGTGTTTGCTGATCCATGCTTGCCTACACAAGCACAGCTCAATGGAACCTGCCACGATGATAGAAATGCCCCACATCCGCGCTGGCCAAGATAGTAGCCTCTAGTCACGTGGGGTTATTGAACACTTGAAATGTGGCTACCAGGGAGCTAAATTTGTAAGTTTATTTAATTTCAGTTAATTTAAAGTTAAATAGTCCCATTGAATAAAGCAGCTCTGGACTTTTCAATTCAATGCTTTAGAGCACAGGAACTTTGAAAAGATTCCATTTTAAGAGAACAGGGGAGGACATTCTTGACAGAAAAGGTTCCTTCTTCTGAGGGTTTCAGCGCAGATTTTTCCATCTCAAATTTTCTTAAAGCAGAGTATGTATGCCTGCATTTTCCTTCTCAGTCTTCACTCTGATTTCTTCTGAATAAAATGAGGACTTAGCCTTATGTTAAGACGTTCTGAGATATCTGCCGGGCAAAGGGGTGGGGGTGACACTGGGAGAGACTCAAACGGATGAGTCAGAAATTGACCAACGAGAGAGAAGAGTATGGGAGGGAGAGAGTTACTGAGGAGGGAAGCCGTAAGGAGAGAAATAAATCAAATCGACAGACAAAGGGCCAGTTTATCCAAGGAGAATCGCCGATATTGGGGGATTATGTTGTTAGGGAACTCGGCGCAGAGAGATGGAGCTTTATGAAGCCATCGGAGGCGGAGTGCCGGAAAGGCCTGGTTTTCATTATCACCAAATGGTTCTCTCCTCTCTGGACGGGATGCGGAATTGAGATATTGAAGGTCTGTCAGAAGATAATCCTCTTTTGTGCATCCTGGAAGTGCTGTCTGCCTCCGTAGGAGGAATTTCTCAAAGAAATTGCACGGAGGCCACTCAAGAAACTGTCCGCACGGTAGGCACTGACTTCTGCACTCAGTTTGGCCCTAGGGCTTTTCCTGCCATTTGTGCCACTACGTCAAGACCCAGCGAACTGGACCTCGTCTCACTACTGGATTTGTTAAAGGCCAGCCACCGACACAGGCAGAGCTTTGCTCATTTCCCCCCGTCCCCACTAAAGGCACCCGCAGTAAAATAAATTGGTAGTTTATTTCTCACTCGATAATAACTATATTAATATTCTGTATATAAAATAAATTATTTATAAAATAAAACCAAACCTAATTATTATCCATTTATTTACTGTGCCTTAAGTGCTAAACACTTCAAAAATTTGATCTCTTTAGCTATCGAGGTGGCTAAGAACATTATGAACATTTTATAGATGGGGAAGTTGAGGCTTAGAAAGGGAAAGTTACCGCTTGAAGGTTTCACAGCTGGAAAAGGACAGAGAAAGTAGGTGTGGCTGTTTTGCACACAAGTCCTCCTTCTCTACAATGGAGTCTATGTATTTACAGTTGGGTGCAAACATCAAAACGACCCTTAATAATGGCAAGCAAAGGCTAAAGAAATGAAGGGGCTTCTTTTCATACTAAACCATTCTTATTTCAAGGTTTTATTTTGAATAACTGTTCCCCTATTATCCACCAGCCCAGGTCTTCTAAGACAATGTTGCAGAAATATGCAGCCACAGGATTGGGGTGTTGTTTCTTGTGGTGGTACTAATCACATTTGTTGCCGAAACTTCCTTTGGAAAATGGGGATGATTTTATTCCTCTTGTCTAACAATAGTGCATATGTATTCATAACAATTTATCGAGATGTTTTACTTATTATTGAACACATGCCATGTGCTGGGTATTTAGAACCATCATATCTGGTCTCACAACCGCCCTGGAAGAGATTTGCTAGCTTTGGTTTGCAGAAGCTTAGACAAATTAAATGACTTCTTTAGGTCACACAGTAAATAAATGGCCCGGCCCAGATGTAACACTGACTTTTCTGGTTCCAAAGCCCGTGGTTTTGAAATATACCGCCTCAACTGATTAGTTCATACATTACTTACAGCATCCTTGTGAAATGAGAACTGAGGATAGAACCCACGCATCCAGTCTGGGTGCTTGGCCACCGTGCTAGTCTATTCACTGATAGTTGAGCATGGTCCCAGATACAGAACCCGTGCTCGGAAAGTGGCTGTTGACTCGGGCCAGAAGACTTTTTCTGCTGGCTTTGCTCTGCTGGGAGTATTTTGGGTCTATGCTAGACAAGGACACCCGTCTCACACTTGTCTCATTTGATGTTCACTCCAGGTCACAGAGACACGCACTGGGCCTCTGGGCTGTAACAGCTACGACAATCTGGACTCTGTGAGTTCCGTCCTTCTGCAAAGCACGGAGAGCAAACTGCACCTTCAAGGTAGGAAGCCCGTGAAAAAGGTGGGGCGAGAGTCAGGGGAAGCAGCACGGATGCGATGTGGGGGAGGAGAGGATCAGGAGGGATGGTATAAAAAGAGAATGAGGAAGACGAGGCATAGAAAAACCTGCGAAAACTACAAATATGGAAATACAACAGTTAGGACATGAGATATATATATATATATAAATGTATAATTTTAACATATATAGGACATTGAAATCATGATCATTCATTAGGTTTCAGATAGAAAGTAAGAAAATATGAGCTTTATCTGATTATTCTGAAGAAAATGTCTAAACAATATTATTTATAGATGCCCCAGACCTAATATATATTAAAGTTTCATATCATATCATCTGAATTTTCTGCATTATTGCTTTGGATCTTCAATTTGTTTTGGCAGGTGTTATTTAAATCCCCCCCAATATAGGACATTTTATAGAATTTTTGATTCTCTGTAATTTTTCTTCTCCCTTATTTGCTGATCGTTCATAGTCTTAAAGATACACACACACACACCCACACACACTTTTGCAGAGATTATAGGTGACAGTACTCAATGCTGGCTGGGGTGTAGAGACAAAGATATCCTCTGACATGTCTAGTGAGAATGCAACCATTATAGGGATTAATTTGTTGATATTTGTAAATATTTGCATTTGTTTGATGTCTACTATATGTCAAATTCATGTTAGATGCTCCATATGTACGGCTGGGCCATTAACTTAAAGAAAATATACTCTAAAAAATAGTAATTTCTCTCTCATTAATTCACATCATAAAGAGGAGAAAAGACTGCAGGGAAAAAATTGACAAGGCTTTAGATATATATATTACTCTTCTAAAAAATATACTTTATAATATCAAAAATACTAAGATCTCAAATTCCCACGAGAAGACTAAGTGAGCTATGTTGCATCTATACAACATAGTGTTAAGCTGGTATTGAAATGTTTATAAAGAATTTCCAAGAATATGTGAAAATGATTTGATATGTTAATTAATAAATGGAAATTTTCTGATCGAATGTATGGCATGATCTTAACAATATAAAAAGATGAATCAAACTAATTACAGCAAGAAAATATGCCAAGATATTCAAAGAGCTTACCTCTGGATGGTTAGGTTATAGATGATTTATTTTAGGCTTCTAGTTTCTTTTCTAACTTTTCTACAATGATCATGTATTAACTTTATGGTCAGAAAAAAATGACATGCTTTAACTTTGAGCAGACTTAAAATGTGACTTCTAGAAAGGTATGTGGTGAAAGTGATTCTGAATGTCAGTGGGAGGAAGTTGGGCTGAGATTGGCAGGTAGAGCTAAGCAGGGCCTAATATGACTTTTATATTCTGGTTCCTTGGCAACTGTTTGATTCATGCTCTTGTTATAGAAGGTGATTAGAAAACGGTGCACGGAGGGCTTGGTAGTGTCACTTGGGAGCAGTGAATGAAAATCCCTCAGGGAAATTCAGGCCGAGAAAGTGGTTTACTGTTAAAACAAAACACAACACACCAAAATCTCAAATACATGGGGAATAACCCTACCCCCTTTAGGAGAGAAAAGAGTAGACAGAAGGGTTTGCTAATGCATATTAAGAAAGTAGATAAGAAAGATCTTCCTTGGGTGTGCCAGGACTTCCAGTGTCTTAGTTCATGTGATACCTACAGCACTCCTGTGAGTTAAGAGCCGGGATTAGAATCCAGGCAGTCGGTTCCAGTCTGTGTTCGATTACCTGCATGTTGAGGGTGGAAAGACCTGTGAGCTATAACTGGAATATAATTAGAAGGAATTAGTGAGATGTTACTACCAAGGAACTTACTGAGATCTTAGGGACATTTAGAGGCTGATTTGCCCTGAAACCAGTGAAGCTTGAGGTCCAGGAATCTGGCACCTTCCAAGTCCCTACCTTTTCTCATTCTGAAGACACATTTAGTTTCATATCTAATTTTGACTGTCTTTCCTCAAAAAACAACTACTTTTATCTGGTGATGTGATAGTTTCACAGGTATACAAACATGTCAATCTTATCAAATTATACATTTCAAATATTACAGTTCATTTTATGTTAATCACACATCAATAGATCTGTTAAAAATTTAAACAACTGGAATAAATTGTATTCAAATGGTTTTTTTACAAAAACAACTACTGTATAAGACTTCTGTTCTCCCAAGCCCAGATATGCTATTGGTTATATTGTTAGAAGTATGCTATTCACAAAAAGGAGGTGGTAGCCCTGTCCTTCTTTAGAAGGGTCAGAGCACACCTGGAGGATTGGGTCTACGCCTGAGCATCACACTACAAGACAGACATTGAGAAACTGCAGTGTGTCTGGAGGAGCGAGTCCTATGATAAATAGTGAAAGAAGGTTAACTTGGAGCAAAAAGGACTTGTCTTCAGATACCTAAAGGGCTGTCTTCCAGGAAAGAGAATCAATTTCATTAATATGGATAAAATGGGCCAAGCTCAATGTAGTGAAAGGGAGAAAATTACAAAGATCCCAGCTTTTAACTAAGTATAAAATAGCTCTTTCTAATGAACATTTATGCCCAAACCTGCAACGACCTGCTGAAGGGTGTAGTGACTGACTCCCTGTTATCAGACAATAATAAGTAGGTTATGTTTGGTAGAAATGTTATGGAGACTATTTAAGCACCATTCATTTAGGTTGGATGATCAAAGTAGGTGATTTTAAGTTCTTCCCGATACTGATTCTAGGATTTTATGAAAATGATGAATCATTAAATCTTTTATTGAGACTATATGCCAAAGCCAACACTAGACCCTGGGCACATAAGCACAAATCAGTTCAATTCAACAAATATTTTTTTAAGAACTGATGTTGATAATGAGCTAGGCAAAAAAATGAAGTAGTGAAGAAGGCAGGCATGATTTTTTTCTCAAGGAAATATACACTCCATTGGAGAAGATGAGCTTGAAACAAACAATAAGTGTAATGAATTTTAATGCAGAAAATTATGAGGGTTAGGTGGTATCAGGTAGTATGGGGTCTTAACCTACTAGGGAGTTGGGAAAGTTTTCTGTAAATAAGATACATAGGACGAGACCTGAAGGATGAATAGGAGGGCAGAGTCTTAGATACAGAGACATACAGAAGAATCTTTATCAAGGGGCATGTGAGGAAATGAAAAAAGTCTTATGAGATTAAAGCAGAGACGTCAATGGTGAGAAAGACAAGTTAATCCTTCAAATCCTAGATGGCCTCTGCAGCACATTAATGAGCTGAACATTAATTTGAGAGCAATGGATACCATGGAAATGTTTTTTTAAAGGAAGTAGCCTGAAGAGCCCGCTAGTTTGGAAGATCACTCTGGCTCTTGTGTGGGCAATTAATTAAAGAGGGGTGCACTGGAGGTTGGTGACAGTTGTGGGCTACTGCAGAACTCAAGATGGAATGCCACAGATTTAGACCATGGAGGTACCAGTGGGGGTGGACAGAAATAGACCAATTCTACAGTTACTTATGAGGCATTATGACCAGGATTTCACAAAAAGACCATGAAGAATTTAGATAATTGGATGAATGGGACTTGAATATAGGACAGAAAATAGACAGCCAAATACCCATGCTTCAAAGTAATGCACAACCTAATAGAGATAATAAAAGTAATACATAGCATTGTGGGGATTCAGAAAAGGGAGTGATTCATTCTGTCTGTTCAGGTGGAGGAGTCATAGGCACAAGCAAATATATCTAAGGAAGAATAATGTTCTCCTGGTGGAAGGTAAAACAAATGAGCTTCTTAAATATAAGACAGCAGAATATCTCATGACTTTGGGATAGGCCGATATTTATTCAGTAGGATGCAAAAAGCACTAAGTATGTAAAGAAGAAGACTTGTAAATTGGACTACATTAAAATTTAGCTATAGCAACATATACTATTAATAGAATAAAAATGCAGGCCATAGAGTGGAGGAAACTATTTGTAATACATGTGCCTGACAGAGAGCTCCTAGGTACACTATATATATTTTTAAATCCTAAAATCAATAAGAAAAAGGCAATCTGTTAAGAAAAAATGGATAGAAGACATAAAGAAGCACTTCACAAATGAGTATCAAAATGGCAAATAAACATTTAAAAAAGTGCTCAACTTTTCTAGTCTGTGGAAAAATGTAAATTAAAATCACAATTTAATGTCATAGCATAGCAATCAGCATGGCTCAAATGAAAAAGACTGTCAGTATCAAGGAGTGACAGTTTGAGGCAGTCGGAACTTACACACATGCTTATGGGAGCACAAATTAGTATCATCGCTTTGGAGAACTCTCAGCGTTATCTACAAAGGGCTGCATATGCCCTGGTGCTATGACCCATCAGTTCTAATTCCTACGGATACGCCCAACAGAATTATACCCTAGGTTCGTCAAAAGACATGAATGTTCACAGCAGCTTTATTCAAAATTACCCTAACCTGGCAACAACCCATATGTCCATCAATAAGAAAATTGGTAAATAAATTATTATACATTCATATGATGAGCTACCATACAGAGATGAGAAAGAATGTCTACTGTTTCATACAACAATATAGAAGAATCTCACAAACATAACACTGAATGAAGGAAGCCAGACCCGGATAGTGTATGCCATATGACTCCATTCCTAGACAGGTCAAAAACATTAAAAACAAATACATGTTTTTAGAAGTCCAGAGAGCATTAACCTTTGGGGAGAGAAACAGGCTGGCAACTGAAGGGAGATGAAAGAAATTTCTGGTGGTATTGTTCTGTTTCTCAATCTGAGTGGTAGCACATGGGTATGTTTGCTTTGTGAAAATTTATAGAGCTATACAACCATTATTTGTATGTATACATTTCTGTATATACAACATGGATCTATTAGAGTTTTATTTAATATGTGTTTCATTTTGACATTCTCTGCAAAGACAGAACATGAATAAAGCACAGGGCCATGGAAAAGGGGGAGGTGGTCCAGCCCAGCTAGAGGACAGGCTGCATGGACTAAGGGTAG